CCTAGGGAGCATCCTGTTTTTGCACCCTGAGATAAATCAACACTTTTGCTTAGAAGTGATTCTAGAAGACTCCAGAGGTGTTTTATGTATTTACAGCATCAGTCACTATCTCTCAGCACAACCCATCTCACAGGATTCTTGTTATGGAGAAAATAGGGGGCTTTAGGTATGTTCACCAAGTTATTTATGCAGTAATAAAGGTGGAATAATATAAATAAATAAATACACTTTTTGTACCCAAGGTTTACCTAATGTGCCATATTAAGCAGTAAAATTAAGCAACATCCTCAGTCTTGAGACTACAGAATAGTAATACATATGCTTGTAAGAAAGCAATGCAAACTCACTGAGTTTCACTACTGCTCTGGCTATGTCATGAGATATCCAACCATATAATCATGGTTCTTTCTGTGGTCATCATCATATCATCATTGGCTGCTTTTATTATTAGGTTAGTCAAATTGCTATCCACATGACAAGCTGATGTAGCCAAAGTTTCTAAGTGCTTACTGAAATGTGATGCTCAGTTTAGGGTATGTGCAAATAATTAAAAATCATATCAATATTTTCTTGGGCTGCATCTGTATGAAAGAGAGAACATAAAATCTCAGACACATGCAAAAATAACTAAAATTTCAAACTAAATTTAAATATAAATTATGGATTCCTTAAAAATTACAATTATGATTTATGCATTAAAGAATATAATAAAAGCATATTGCTCGGAGATAAAAGTCTCTCTTGAATAGAGCTCAACATTTGCTGAATTTCTTTTTTTCTTTTTCTTTCTTTCTTTCTTTCTTTCTTTCTTTCTTTCTTTCTTTCTTTCTTTCTTTCTTTCTCTCTCTCTCCCTCTCTCTCTCTCCCCCCCTCTCTTTATTTCTTTCTTTAAATGGCCACAATATAGAAGTCTTTGCCCTTGCTGTTCTCCAGGGTGTTCTTTTGATCTCCTAGTCTACATCATGAGATTACCTGGTCATCATGTACAGGTCTGACTTTTCTTAATTTTGTTTGACATCGGCCAAGATTTGCAAGATGACATTATCACCATCAAGAACTATAATAACAAAATGAAGAAGACTTAAATAATATCTCATTGTAGGTTCTGTTTTGTAAATAAAACAAATATTCTTAAATGAATCTTGATATATACCTAACTGCTACTTTGTAATTTAGTGTACAGTAGTAACAGACTTAAACATACAATATGTATGGGCTGGAGATTGTGTATTAGCTGCCAAGCAGGGACTTTTAAACTTTTACTCACACTCTTACTACATCTTCTACAACTACTATTTTGTGGTATTGCCACCAACCACTTTACTTTGGGAAAATGTTTCTCTGGACTGGTTCATTTAGCAGCAGATAAATAACAATCTCCCTGCCTTTTCTCCAGTAGCTGATGGGGGTGAGGGTAATATCTTTTCCCCCAAAAAATGTTGCTAGTTCATTTATAATTCAGATGTTTATTATTGATATGTATCAAAGTCAAAGAAGGAGCTGAAAAAAAACAAGTAGCAAAAAATGATTGAACAAGTACTTCAAACAGAATTTAATTCAGCCAGTTTCAGGACACACAAAAGTGCGCTTAACGCATGTGCACACACACACATACAGCAAAAATCCCAGCAGCTCATAGAAAACAAATATATACTGGATGTAGGTCCAATGGTTGTTAGTTTGCTGCTGCATAATTTCCTAATCCCTAACTCAGATTTCATGGGTTGAGGCTTCTCTTATCCAGTGTTCTGCCAGTCCCAGGGAAGAACCACTTTCAGCCCTAGGTTGCGAGGTCAAAAAACATTTTACTGTAACTTGCAGTGGACCAGCATGGCGGATTAGGGTCCATAACCTTCAATAAGAGGCTGTCATCCTTCAGTGGATAAATTTAGGTAATAAGAATCTCTCCCACATTCCCCCTCTATCTAGGAACCTAAAGCACTGAACTATAGTGACCCACCATTTAATTTACTAAAAGGGCCTCTAAGGACTTTGTGGGGCCCAGAGGTATTGCTCAATAACACATTATGCTTCAGGGTAAACACCGTTTTGCAATCTGATAATTTAAAAATAATCAAAACAAAATATAACTAAGGAACAGGAAATCTGCTAAATGTCAAGGAAGTAGAAGTTGGCAGGCTCACTGTTGTCCTTAGGAGCCACAATGGTGATTCAAGATCTGCAGCGTCAGAGAAACAATCATGGAATCCAAAAATGGAAAATTGTTCTATCTCCAGTAAGGAAATTCTGAAGATTACCACAAACAGCTTTCAAAGCAGAAATCCTGGCTCCTTGTGCTAAAAAGCCAAGTTGTTTTTTTTTTAATCTACAGCATTCAATTCTAAACTGCCACACTAAGCAGGGAAATTGGAAGAAAGTTGTATTCATGGTTGTTTGGACATGAGTAGATGTTTCAGGTGAAGTATTGGATTGTTCCATGTATTAGATTCTGTGACTTTATAGAATGTTATCTCCAATGTGATCTCTACTTGAATAAATCCATATAAAGCAGGTATGTCCAATCCATGGCCCATAGGCTGCATGTGGCCCTGAGAGTAATGCAGCCCTACAAGATAAGATAGAATGATACATAGATACATAGATAGATAGATAGATAGATACATTAATTATATTGTATATTTATAATTCCTCCCCACTCAGTGTGGGCCAGGCAAGCCAAAAGGTTTGACAACCATGATATAAAACTTATTTTCACAGCGTGTGCAATATATTAACTATGTGGTATTCCAGCACTCTTCCAATTTTGTTTTATTTACAGAAGAATGTGCAAAGCATCTAAAGTTTGAACCATTTTTTTAATTTAAAACACCATGTGCATGTGAAAGAGTTGTCTTGAATGCAAAATGATCTGTTTTGGTAACCTGGAGAATGTATTAATAGCAGCACAGCGCAGTTTGGGTATGAAATGGGACATTCCAGTTAGTAAAGTTTAAAAATCAAAGTGTTTCATATTCCTCTACCCAAGATTAAGCACACAATGGCATATAGAGATTAGTCTGAGTGGACACATCCTCTGTCCACATATTTTTCATAAAAGTCAAATGTTATGTCTTGTTGTACAGTATGTGTATGCTTGGAACCTTCCTTGGATAATATACTTTTTTTAAAAAGAAAAGTTGCACACACAAGAGGTTTTCTGTGCATTCTATGAAACAAGGTAACAGGATATGGGAAACAAAAAATAAACTTCAAAACAGCAGTAGTCACAATCTGTATGTGCTTCTATTTTAATATGGGAAGCTAAAGTTCATATTATTTTGGATGGCCAGGGCCAGGCAGTGTTTGTTGTGGATACAAATTCATCACAACCAAGTGATGGCCACCCTTCTGTTTTGTATTCTATTAGACATGATAGGATAAAGCAGGTATCTATGGCAGCTATTATAATATCATCAAAAATATACATTAAACAGAACACAGACCAAAGCCAAATGAGCTTCATGGACCAAGTTCAACCAAAGGATGAAACATCAGAGACCATAGCCCACAAGGAGGCACCGATACCAGCCCGAGGACAAGATTTTAATGCACATGCTGTCACTTATTGTCTTCTTGTATGCCTGTGTCATTGAACTGAAGGCCTGCCCTGGGATTGCCCTTGGTTTTAATTTCTAAAGTCCTAAAAGCTTGAGCCACAATGTCAGATTTTTTTTTATTTGGACCATCAAATCTTCTGCAGAGGTCTTCCAAGCAGAGTCTTGCAAGTGGCTGACAAATGAGCTTTTTCAATTGTAGTGTCCTAGTCTTTGAACACCATCTCGACTAAAGTGTAACTGAAAACTATAAGATAGGAGGTCAGATGAAGACTTTTGATTTCACACCACTTTGTTTTAGAAAGTTGAAAACTATCCTGAAAACATCACTGCTGCTTACTACTGTCAATACTGTAAAACACAAGTATATTTAAAATACAAAAAATATTCCTTTTGTCTTTGTCTTTATTTAGACATACTGTAGTAAGTTAGGGCTGTCATGTCTTAATTACAAACCTCCAGATACAAGAGACCAAAGAAGAAGAGATACGGGAAACGCATCGCTGCCATCTGGCGGTCATCTTTGAGTTTGCAGTCCTAAAAATGGTAGAATTAATTTCTGTTTAGAATGAATCCATAAGGTATAAGGCACGCATCTATCTTTGAAAACAACCTTCCTTCTTACTCCTTTGGAACCCTTCCCGTTCATTTATATTTATCTAGAAGAAATAAATTGTGTTTATTTTAATTGGAGTTACTTCGCAGTAAAGGGTTTTAAGATTGCAGTTTCAGAATGAACACGAATATGAATCATCACTATCATAATTTAATTGGAGCCAGTTGTACGTACACTCCACAGTTTTCCATCTCACCCTTAATTCCTTATAGGAAACAAGGAGAATTTGGTGCAAGGTAGCCTTTTTGCATCTCCAAGTAACGAGAAACTACCCAGGATTTCAAAGCAAACTGTACAGGTTCCAGATAGTGCAGTGCTGTATATTCATGTCATAAAATAACGTTTGTCTATGGTTCAAGATCACACAGTTCAAAGAGATAGCAAAGTGGCTGCTTTCGACCGGCCTCCTGACAAATCTCCTTATAGCTATGCCTCAAAGCAAAAATTCCACCGGTGCAACTTTATTCCTCGGTGTCTATGCCTCGTTTCCACCAGTCGCCTTAGCTTCTCTCGCGCGTCTCTTCTGGTTGAGCGGAGTCTATCTCACAAAGAGGTCCCTCTCTTTCTTTCGGAACAAAATCATCGCTACTCCTTGGCTATTATTGAGTGGCTATTCGGGTCTTCGTAGCATCGATATGGTAGCCTTAGAAAAGAAGGCTTTTCAGCTAGGAGATAAGTCTCCCCCCCTCCCCAAATAAGTTATTTTCTCGCAGCTGTGCAAAAAAAGCATCAGGATCCAAACAGCGTCGATTATCGCTGAAGCGAAGATGCGAGACAGGAACCGCGAGAGACGGAACGCTTTTGTCGCGATCGGTGTTTCCGGAGGACGCGAAGTGCGTCGGACCGCTTAGAGAAGGTAGAGGAGGACGAGGGAGAGGGAGGTCGCGATGGCTTCAGTTCGGTTGGCTCGCGGACTGTGGCGGGGTTGCAGCAAAAGTAAGCCCATAGAGGAATCCGAGGAATGGCTGGTTTAAACTCTGGGTTCAAGGGATACAACTAAGGAATTGTTACATTGCCGTTCACTTTGATCTATCTTGGTTACGGTATTGCTCAGATTAAAATACTGCAATGCCTGCCCGCCCTTCTTAACGATAAGAGCAGACTATCTGCTCAGAATTGAAATGTGGTGCCCTTTGTGCTCTTTGAGTTTGATTGGTTGTTTTTTTTTTGCAGACGTTTCATTACCCAAACTAGGTAGCATCATCATTGCTGGTTATGGGATAGAATACGAATTTGCTCTCAATTTGTATTCTAGTGACTTGCCCTGTCAATGTTAGTGGGGATGGTCTTTTGTGGTTCTTTGGTTGGCCTGTTTACTGTTAGCTTGTTTGGCAATTCCTTGGTTGGGGTATTGTTTGCATCTTGATTATTGATCTAATATTAATCTGAATGTTAATGTTATTTATGTCTATGTCCCTGTTGATGGCTGATTGTTTCCCTTTTGGCTCATTGATTGTCTCTTTTGAATGGTATGCAGATGTTGTTTATATCTATGTGCCTTTTGATGGCCCTAACGCTGACAAATTAGCCATCAGCAGGCACAAAGAACATTGATATACCATTCAAAATAGACAATCAACAAGCCCAAAATGGAACAAAAAGACTAGAGCATGTCCTCTACCCAGATGAGTAGAGATTAACACCAAGATTAACATTAGATTAACAAGATTAACATTTGATTGGGACAAAAAAAACAACCAAGATCACTCCCACCAACACTGACAGGTCAAGCCACTGGAATATAAAATGAGAGCAAACCCCATTCCCTACTAGTACTGATGATGTTGCCTAGTTTGGTAACAAAATGTGTGCAAGAAAACAATCTCAGAGAGCATCAAGGACTCCTCATATCCTTCTTAAATTTTGCAAGAACAGTTTTCTGAGCATGGAGATGGCTGTTTGCTTTAAATAATTAGTGAAAGTCGGATAACCACTTGCATAGTATCAAGAATATTTCCTATCGAAGACTTGCATTTCCCAAATTTAACCTGGAATTTAATAATGGATTCTAGGACTATGAAGATTGAGTTCAGTTTGTTTTATGTGGTTCTGGTGCCTTGCTTTTCGACTCTGGAGATTTTGTACCCTGACATTTCAAATTCAATGCTCCTTAAGTTGAAGAGTATTTTCTTGATAATTGTTGGTGGTAAGAAAAGCAGAGTTGTCGGGTCTGATATATTGGAGGAGCAGTGTGCATTGTGTGTGGTAAGATGTTTGCACAGTGAAGTTCATAGCATCGTGCATATTTTATAAAGACTCAAATAATTATTTGATTATATAATATGATAGATGTTAAAGGAATGTGATATTGTCATTACCCCATACACATACATACCGTACCTCAAATTCGCAGGAACTTACTTCTCTTAAAAGATTAAGTTATTTTTATTAGGTTTTGAGTAAAAGAAATGTACTTTCACAGATTCCAGAGATGTTCCTCAGATATTATTTATAGGTCCTGCAGTAAGGAATATTTTTCCTTCATTAATTTTAATCACAATTCATAGAACTTACTTTCATATAAATGTATTAGCAAAGAAGATATTGGACAATTAAAACAATATATTTTAACAAGATGTCTTCTTTTTTCTCAGGGTTTATTTCCATTGCATCTATTCCTCAACTTTCAACAGCAGAAATTGCTCAAAGGCGCAATGATCTGTTCACAAAAGAGAAAGAAAGACAACTGTCTCTTAATCCACGGATTGAGAAAATTGAAGTAAAACATGTGGGTAAATCACATCCTGGCACCTTATTTATAATGAACAAAGGACTTTCCACTCCATACAGTTGTGCTATGCGTAAGTAGTTGAAATGGTGTTGTTAGGTTGAGTAACAAATTGAAATATGCTTCATGTAAGAAGGACTTTGGTTTAGTTAGTTGTGCTTCTACAAATACACAATGTTTGGGAGTTAAATTTCCTCACTCTAGTAAGTGTTCATTTGGGATCACCAGTCATTTTGCTTCCCTAATGTATTTCTTGGTTTCTACAGATCTGTTCTCTTCTATGATACCTAGTCTCTAGCAATATGGAACCCTCAGTTTTGATGAATCAGTTTCACTTATCCTTATTAACTCCCTATGAAGCATTATTAAAGGAGAAAAATATTCCAAGTCATCATGCTCTTTAGCAATAACTTATAACTTGATCAAAAACAGGGGAAAAATCCTGGCTTCTTCCTGCTAACCAAAAAAGATTCTGATAGTGTCTCATAGTAGGATTAAAAAAAGAAAACAAGTAAAAATAGCAGATAGTTCAGGTAAACTATGGGTGAAATCTTGCTGCCTCTCTTAAAAACAATTAATTTTTACCTTAGGTAATATACAGGCGGTTGTTTTAGACTGTTATTTCACTAATAAAATATGATTTTAGTACAGTGTAATACTTTTTGAAGTTTAATTTTTATTTTATTTTGTTTATCTTTTCCAGATTTAAGTGAATGGTATATTAAGAGATCTGTGCTTGCCCTTGTAGATGGGCAGCACTGGGATATGTACAGACCTTTGACTCATTCTTGTGAAATTCAGTTTCTTACTTTCAAAGATGAAGATGCAGAAGAAGTGAACAAAGTATAACAATCCTGGGTTTCTTGCTTTATGTTGTTTTTATTAAAACTGAGAGATAAAAGAATGCATGGTTTAAATTCGTTTGAATGTCAATACAGGTAGCCCTTGCTTAACTTTGATAATTGGGACTGGAATTTCTGTCACTGAACGATGCGGTTGTAAAGCACAACATCATGTGACCACATCATTTAGTGATGGCAATCGTGGTTGTAGTCGTTATGTGAGGGTCATGGGTTATTAAGCAAGGACATCCTGTGACTGTAACTTGTGACTTCCTGCAAGCAAAGTCGAAGAGGAAGCAGGCAGGAAGTTGCAAGTCCTAGTTGTTACTAATTTTTCTTTTGGTAGCTTGCAGGCAGGCCAGTGGGCAGGTGGGGAAGGGTTTAGGGTGCTGTGGTGGGAGTGCAGCCAGGCAGAAGTTAAGTCTTGCAGCCTGGCACAGTTGCAGGGGGCCTATGGCCCAGTCAGGTATGCATACACTGCGGAGGGCAGATATAGTAATTGCTGTAAGTGGGCATGTGCTACAGAATGTGAGATTTTTCCAGATCTTTAACCCTGTAGCAGGGCTCCTCAGGAGAAAAACTGGAATATTGTAACTGTCATAAGAATGAGGCAGTTGCCAATGCTTGAATCACAATTGTGATTCTTGTGGCATTGCTGTGGCAGCTGGAAATTCAATAACTGAGTACGTATACCATTCATTCAGCACCATCATGGTCATAACCCAAGAACAATTTGTAGAGGAGTTGATTCAAAAATGATTTGAATATAATGATATTCTGTTTCTCTTAGTATAGAATTTCATCTTTCTGGCTTTCTATTAATTGCAGATTTAAATACAGTAATACAAGTGGAGTATTTTTGACTCATAAAATAAATGACATTCCTCAGAAACAGAATACAAGGCAAATATCTTTTATGTCTGGCTGCATTTTTAAATAACATTTGCCATCAAACATGAAATTTCATAAATGATGCCTTGAGTCTTTTAAAATTTGCTTTTGAAGTTTACATTGAACTATCTTGAGATAATTTGAATTAATCTATTGCAGGCTTATTGGCGTTCTTGTGCCATGATTCTGGGCTGTATTTTAGAACAAGCATTTAAAGATGAATATTCAATTACTCTTGTTAAAGCTCCAGAAGTACCAGGTAATATAACTCTCTGGAAGAATACTACGATAAACATAGAAAAAATCTCTGTAATTTACTCATTTCAAAAATGTAGGTATTATAGCATTTGGAGACAAAGTACATGCAAAATACTTTGAATTATAGTCTGAACCTATTGGAAGGTTACAAAGCTGAAGAAAATTATAATAGACAATTTACTAAACTACCAGTTTCATTAGATCACTGGCAACTGTCTTTTGCTCATCTAATATTAAAGTTCTTATGATGGTAAATACTTACTGTATTTACTTTTTTCTGTGAAGGTAGTACACATGTTATTTTCAGTTGGTCCTTATTTGGAATTGGCCATATTCAAAACTGCCATGCTAACAACCAAATGCTGGGGAAAGCATACTTCTTAAAATGATTTATTAACCAGTGTTCAATTCTCAATTGCATACTATAGCAGAACAGGTAAAATTCTTGTTTAAATAGAACAGAATTGCAGATATAATTTGATATATAATTTTAATATTCAAATTAAGTCTGCAGTTCTGTTCAATTTATCTGAAAGGTTTTACCCCATTGAACTAGAAGAAATTTACTTATGTATGGTGTATATAGAGAGTTGCATTATAATACCTCCCTGAAAAACGGTTTGCACCTTGACTAAAAAGAGAAGTTAAGACAGTGTTAGGTGAACTTTTTTGTGAAAAAGTTCCAAAGACATTCAGTCATTCACAAAGACTTTTCTTCAGTTTTCTGTCAGCAAGAGTCAATGGTGGAGGAAGACCTAAAAGCCTATATTGATATTTGGACACAATTCATTATTTTCATTAGGCAGGTTGTTCAAAAGTGGGATATCTAGAACCCATTAATTAACTATCTAGACTAATATTTAGATTTCTTAATTTCTTTACCATCCTGGGTTTATTTGTTTTGATAATATCTTGTCTAATGAAGAATTCCAGGTAACCCAAAAACTTGTATCCTGTGTTTGACATTTTGTTTGGTCTTAATTAAAACATGCCTAAATATGAATTTAGAATTATTTGTACAGCCAAATTTCTGATGCTGTAACTATATGCTGGTTCTCATTGGATTTCTTAAATATCTTACTTTGAAAAATCTATTCATAGCAATATTTCAAAATGTTGTCTTGCTATATAGTGACATCTGGAGCATTTTGCTATGATGTAATCTTGGATAGCAAACTTGATGCATGGACACCAACTGAGGTACGTTCAAGCTGGTTTAATGGACAACTCAATACATCCATTATATGAAAAGAATAATTGCTAAATGTAAAAATTGCAATGGATATTTGTATTCACACAGAACTTTATGTGTTTGTGCCCTATGTTTCATTTGCTCTTATATAATAAAACCTCAGATTTTTTTATAAATGTAGATGTTAAACTGCACTTCCTAGACTGCTGGATCAAGCCTCTAATACTTATTTGGGTTTGAAATGTTTATTTTTTGGATAAAATATGTTTAAAATGTGTACATTGTGAGAAAATATTTAAATATTTTGTACAAATTGATCTGAAAACAGAACAAATCTATGAATGAATGTACGCAGAATTAGCAGACCAGAAATTGATTGATCAATCCTCCTATAATGATAGAGCCAATATTAGATTCTGTTCTGGATTCAGACCTTAATTCATATAATATTAAGGGTATAAAACCAAATCTGGAACTTCTTCAGCTCTGGATTTAGTCTGGTCATATTTTTATTATAAAACTCTTTTTCTGCTGTTGCTCCACCCTCTGGAACAAGAAGATGGGCAGCATATAAATTTAATAAATAACAACAACAGCAATAATAATACTATAAAACATCCACATCTGCCTATCCCAGGTACTTGGGAAGGACTAAATAGGCGGATAAAATATCTAATCCAGCTGGCTGACTGTGCGACAAATCAATAACATGTAGAAAAATGCAAGGAGACAGGTTAGTTTTAAGCTCAGTCTTGCCTTAATATAATAGAAAGCCTTTTGAAAAGTATGGTGTTTTAACATAGCAATTGGATTGGATAGCCTCACAAGCTTGCCCTTTTATTCCTCAAATATTCGTTATAATATTTGCTGTAAATGCTAAAATTGTTAACTCATAAACGTCCTTCTGTATTGGGGATGAAATAAAAGGATATCTGTATGTGGATATATTTAATTCGATTAAGCCAAATAATTTTCCAGACTGCTGGGCAGATGGAGGATATTGAGTTTTTTTTAAGCTTAAATGAAAGGAGGAATAGTAAATATGAAACATGTTCCAGTTTTTTATGCTTACTATATTCCTGCAGAGACGGAGCTACCTTAAATAGTTACAGCTTGAAAAGTCTCCAGAATAATGATTAAATATTACACACCAAGAATTTTAGATACTTAAATTATTTGAACCTTCTTATTTATCATGTCAATCTATATAAGCTCGGTATTTTTTTTTCTCATTTTTGAAGGAAAATCTCCATTCTCTTTCAAAAGATGCTTTCAGATTAATTCAGAAAGATCTGCCGTTTGAAGTGCTGGATGTCGATGCAAAAGTGGCACTTGAAATATTTGAGTATAACAAGTTAGTAATAGCAATCTATATGTCAGAGTTAAAATGTCATTCAGAAAAGATGTGTATTTATCTGTCTGTGCTCATATGTATATAATTTGAAACCAGTGTTTCATTAAAAAGATCTATAATTTGAGATTAAAAAAATAAACAGCACCTTATTCATTTGCTTTTGGTTTTCATGTCTTATTAGTATGCCACTGATAATGAAAGGGAATATGGCTGAACAATGTATAACTCCTGTTCAAATAAATAGCCATATATTGCAGCTATACTTAACATAGGTTGCAAATAACATAAAAGACAGACGAATGACTCCTGGGAATATCCATAATACAAAATAAAAGTGCGAACACCAGGAGAGTATAAGACAATTAAAAGTTTAGTAAAAAACCTTTAAAAACTTTTAAAAGCATACAATCATAGGGGCCAAGCTTTCGTCGGATCCTTCCGACATCCTCAGGGCACAAAGTCAATCAATG